CTGGAAATGTAACCTATAATGGACATGAACTACATGAATTTGTTCCACAAAAAACAGCTGTTTATATCAGCCAATATGACTTGCATATTGGAGAAATGACTGTAAGGGAAACTTTGGAATTTTCTGCAAGATGCCAAGGAGTTGGCCCTAGATATGGTTAGTGTTTTCTTCTTCTTCTTTTTTCTTATAACTAAGAATTGTTTGGTAGAGTGTATATGAATAGTAGTGAATAAAGTGTTTTAGTAATGCTGAAATTAGTTATATTAGGATTATTTATATTCCACTGTTTGGTTTGGTGTTTTAAGAACGGTTCTGTCTTTAACCATGCTTATTTATGTATTAATAACCCTTATATTGCTAATACCATGGATTGCTATGAAGAAGTTATACATCCTATAATACTGAATAGGGTGTGTAGTAATTATACATAGGTTGAAAATCCTACCAAACAAAGGATTAAACAATTTCATGACTAATACATATGTTATTTTCTCTAATACATCGTACCAAACTACCTCTAAATGTATTTTTTATAAGTGAATTTTATTTTTTATTTTGCAGTGAAAACATTAGATATTCATTTGTTAATTATTATTTTTCCTGAAAACTTATATAGAGATGTTGGCTGAACTATCAAGAAGAGAGAAAGCAGCTAATATCAAACCAGATCATGATGTTGATATCTACATGAAGGTAAGAATACAACAGAGAGACATGAGAGGGAATTATACTAAATCTGTTAGTAAATTTACATTTATAGTTTTTATTGTTTTTGGCAAATGTAGGCTTCAGTAACAAAAGGACAGGAAGCTAATGTTGTTACAGATTATGTTCTTAAGGTAACATTTACAATCCAATATTTTGCATAATAAGGATTTAATGTATATAGTGCTATTAACTTGTAGTAGCAGATAAACTGTCTTATGGATGTTGTGTATCGTTATCTTCCAGTATGGTAATTTGACTTCCATTTGCAGATTTTGGGTCTGGATGTCTGTGCTGATACTATGGTGGGAGATGAAATGTTAAGGGGTATTTCAGGGGGGCAAAAGAAACGTGTAACGACGGGTGAAATGCTTGTTGGACCATCAAAGGCGCTTTTCATGGATGAAATCTCAACTGGATTGGACAGTTCAACTACTTTCTCCATTGTCAATTCGCTAAGACAATCGGTGCAGCTCTTGAAGGGAACTGCTGTGATATCTCTGTTGCAGCCAGCCCCCGAGACTTACAATTTATTTGATGACATCATTCTGTTGTCGGATGGACGCATTGTCTATCAGGGCCCTCGGGAAGCCGTTCTTGACTTCTTTGAATCCATGGGATTCAAATGCCCCGAAAGGAAAGGTGTGGCAGATTTCTTGCAAGAGGTATGTCTTACAATAAAGTATAACCAACATAGATAATGGCGTGAAGTAGGTAATCATCTCTCATCTAAGAGTTTAAACTGTTAGAGAGGGTGCACTATTATGTTTAGTTAATTATTTCATGTGTCCCCTCACATACTGTTCTGGTTCTTTTTCATGGGTGGTCATGAGACTTAAACCGACCCTTCGTCTATTATGATACTATGCTGAAGTATGTGACCATAAATGCTTAATCTGTTAGGTAGACCACACTTTTATTTAGTTAACTATGTCTTAGACATACAAGAATGAAGTTTTAAATTATGTATTGCAGGTAACATCAAAGAAGGATCAACAACAATATTGGGCTAAAAGGGATGAGCCTTATAGGTTTATCACATCAAAAGAATTTTCTGAGGCATATCAGTCTTTCCACGTTGGAAAGAAACTCGCGAATGAGCTTGCAACTCCATATGACAAGACCAAAAGCCACCCTGCTGCTTTGTCTACTCAGAAGTATGGTATAGGGACGAAACAAATGTTGAAGGTCTGCGCTGAACGAGAATTTCTACTAATGAAGAGGAACTCATTTGTTTACATATTCAAGCTCTTTCAGGTACTGACTACTTGGTGTATTAGATAAACAAGTGTTTGCCATTTCAATACCATGTGCCTATTGTTAATTCTCTTTGTTTCGGTTCTGTTTTCTCAGCTCGTGGTAATGGCACTTATAATGATGACCGTCTTTTTCCGTACTGAGATGCCCCGAGATAATATGGATGATGGAGGGATGTATGCTGGTGCTCTCTTTTTCGTAGTCGTTGTGATTATGTTTAATGGAATGGCTGAGATCAACCTGACGATTTTAAAGCTTCCAGTCTACTTCAAACAAAGGGACCTTCTTTTTTATCCTTCATGGGCATATGCCCTACCCACATGGATTCTCAAAATCCCAATAACATTTATTGAAGTTGGTCTTTGGACGTTTCTTACATATTATGTCATGGGATTTGATCCTAATGTTTCAAGGTAAGGGAAGAAAAAAGATAGTGCAGAGTAATAATTTGATGGTCTTTCATAATTTCATGTTTATCAAGGGACTATGGCTTTGCAGATTGTTCAAACAATTCTTGCTTCTCGTACTAGTACACCAGATGGCATCAGGATTGTTCAGATTCATTGGTGCAGCGGGGAGAACAATGGGAGTCGCTACCACATTTGGAGCATTTGCACTGGTTTTGCAATTTGCATTGTCTGGATTTGTCCTCTCGAGAAGTATGTTTTATTGTGTTCGCAAGAAATTTTTTCTTGTTCAGTCATACATTTATTTATTTTCTATTTTGCATGATGCTACAGATGATGTGAAGAAATGGTGGATCTGGGGTTACTGGATCTCACCATTAATGTATTCTGTGAATTCAATTCTTGTGAATGAATTTGATGGGAAGAAATGGGAACATGTAAGTGTTTTTATTCCAAACCACATGCAAATAGCTAATTTTCTCATATATGGATGCCCATTCCTCTTAATTAAAACAGATTGCGCCAAATGGAGCTGAGCCACTTGGACATGCAGTAGTAAGATCTCGAGGGTTCTTTCCAGATGCATATTGGTACTGGATAGGTGTTGTGGCACTTATCGGATTCATAATAATCTTCAACCTCTGCTACAGTATTGGACTCGCTTACCTGAACCGTGAGTATCTCTGGTGCCTTGACATTCCCCTAGAAAAGAACATAAAATGAACAATGCCTTATACTGTGACCGGAGAAACGGGGCTAATACCATATTTCTTATACATCTTCAGCTTTTGGTAAGCCACAAGTTATGATATCAGAAGACGATGAGAATGTTCGACTCATCGAGGAAAGTGAAACTGAGGGTGAAAAGAAGAAGGGAATGGTTCTTCCATTTGAACCGCATTCCATCACCTTTGATAACGTTGTATACTCCGTTGACATGCCTCAGGTAACTTTCCAGAACCTTTCACGAATAATATTTGTGACTAGTAAGGTTTTTATTTTCTATGAACAACTAACTTAACATTCTAATGAATTGCAGGAAATAAAAGACCAAGGTTCCACTGAAGATAGATTGGTACTTCTAAAAGGAGTGAGTGGAGCTTTCAGGCCAGGTGTTCTCACAGCCTTGATGGGCGTTAGTGGAGCCGGTAAAACAACATTGATGGATGTCTTGGCCGGAAGATATTGATGGTGACATCAAGATTTCTGGATATCCGAAGAAGCAAGAAACGTTTGCACGTATTTCTGGATATTGTGAACAGAATGACATCCATTCGCCTTATATTACAGTTTATGAGTCATTAGTTTACTCAGCTTGGCTGCGTTTACCTCAAGATGTTGACAAAAACAACAGAAAGGTTGGTTCCCCTAAGTCCTTTCTCCATAAAATTGGTTGAACATATTAAAGAAACATGTATGGCAGGGCAATAACATAATTGATACATCACCGCTCTGCAGATGTTTGTTGAGGAAGTTATGGAACTTGTAGAGCTAACTCCTTTAAGATCAGCCTTAGTCGGATTGCCTGGAGTCAATGGTCTATCAACGGAGCAACGCAAAAGGCTGACCATTGCAGTTGAACTGGTAGCAAACCCCTCTATCATTTTCATGGATGAACCAACTTCAGGGTTGGATGCAAGAGCTGCTGCCATTGTAATGAGAGCTGTTAGGAACACTGTCGATACAGGAAGAACTGTCGTCTGTACCATTCATCAACCTAGCATTAACATTTTTGAAGCCTTTGATGAGGTGAGATTATTAACCTTCCAAGCATATTTGCTTCCACTTTCTCTTTTCCACCTGTATTAAATGTGAAACACGGCTTTGCAGCTATTTCTAATGAAACGAGGAGGACAGGAGATATATGTTGGTCCTCTGGGTCGCTATTCTTGTCATTTGATCAAATACTTTGAGGTACATTAACAAAAAAATATATGTGTTTGTTTTTCTTAGTTTATATAATCAAATACTAATCTTAGTTTCCTCTCGAGTTCAGTCATTGCCTGGAGTTAGTAAGATCAAAGAGGCTTACAATCCAGCAACTTGGATGTTAGAAGTCACAGCCGCATCTCAAGAAATGACGTTAGGAGTTGACTTTGCTGATTTGTACAAGAAATCAGACCTCTACAAGAGGAACAAAGCCTTGATTACTGAATTAAGTACGCCTCGTCCTGGTACAAAGGATCTGCATTTTGAAACTCAATTTTCACAGCCTTTCTGGACTCAATGTATGGCATGTCTCTGGAAGCAACATTTATCATACTGGCGTAATCCATCTTACACGGCAGTTAGATTCATCTTCACAGTCATCCTAGCACTTGTCTTTGGCACATTGTTCTGGGATCTTGGTAGAAGAGTGTAAGTAAAATCACATTGACAAGTAAATATAAACTTGTAAAAAAGGTAACTTTTCCCTAAACTTTTCGAGCTCTATTGATCACAGGAGTCGGAGCCAGGATCTTTTAAATGCTATGGGATCTATGTATGCTGCAACTCTGTTCCTTGGTGTACAAAATTGTTCATCAGTCCAGCCTGTTGTAGCCGTTGAGCGTACTGTATTTTACAGAGAAAGAGCTGCTGGAATGTATTCTGCTTTACCTTATGCCTTTGGACAGGTTATTGTTGAAATACCTTATGTATTTGTACAAGCAGCTTTCTATGGTATAATTGTTTATGCAATGATCGGATTCGAATGGACTGTTGCCAAGTTCTTTTGGTACCTCTTCATCATGTATTTCACTCTCTTGTACTTCACCTTCTATGGCATGATGACTGTGGCTATTTCCCCGAATCAAAACGTTGCTTCTATAGTAGCGGCCTTCTTCTATGCAGTATGGAATCTCTTTTCAGGATTCATCGTTCCCCGTCCTGTAAGTTTTTGCAAATCCTTCATTTCCATCTTTCTTTTTATCCACATAAACTAAACTGAATATCGGAAAATGACATGTTATCTTTGTGTCTGTTTTGCTAAAAACAGCGTATTCCAATATGGTGGAGATGGTACTATTGGCTTTGCCCTGTCGCGTGGACCTTGTATGGTCTCGTTGCATCACAATTCGGAGACCTCCAAACTAGGGTTAGCAATGATGAAAATGTTGAACAATTCTTGGGGCGTTATTTTGGATTTGAGCATGATTTTCTTGGAGTCGTTGCAGCAATTATCGTTGCATGGCCTGTTGTTTTTGCCTTCCTGTTTGCATTTGCCATTAAGGCATTCAACTTCCAGAAAAGATAAAGTGTGTTCACTTTCTAACAACTTGAGAGAAAGAAGAGACTACTATGTGCAGTTCACTTTTTGAAAATTGTTTATATTTTTTTGGTTTCTTCCTTAGTCCCTAGTTTTGTTGTACAATTAAATGATTGTTCATTAACAAATGAAAATATACAAGAAATTTACTCCTTGTTTTGATTTATTTTCTTCTTACCTTTCCCTTCACCGAGTCGAAGTGTAACTGGTAAAGTTGCATTAGCAGTGTCACTTGTCAGTCTATTATTACAATTCGACTTATATAAGAATTTGGAAATTGATGTTCATTTTGCATTATTTTCAACAATATGACTGAAATTGTTTGAACCGTATGTCCAACCCCTGTAGCCTCCTGAAATTTCAACGTTTATTTAAATAATCTCATTTCAAACCCAAACCATCGCGTTTACGTAGATCTATTACATACTCCCTTTATTTCAGAGTACAAACGTCAAACTTAATGGCAGAATGATAAACAGTGTGAAACCATCATAGTTGTAATAATATGGAAAGCCTATGATGCCCGATCCAAAAGTCATTAAAAATACTTGTGTAGTAACTAGCTTGTTTAATAGAATCAAAACTTGCTATTATAGTAATATTATGAACAATTGATAACAGTAAGATGATAGATTACTATCATAGCACTAAAGAAGAAAAAACTTTAAATGTGTTAGTTACATAGTTTTCTCCTAATAGATGAACCAAAAAAATCAGCCTACCTTATTGTTCCTTCAGAAATGGAAGCAACCTTGCAAATACCAACTGATGTGGTGAATGGCACATCTTTGTAGCAGGCAACTAACTCCTTATTGGTATGTAAATCCACCTGAACAGTCTCCCAAACTTTCTTCTTAGGGTTCAAGATATCGTCAGGTTTGCCATCAAATCCGGGGAATGTAACTCGTTCCCCAATCACAGCATCTTTTGGTGGCTCGATCAATTCAACCTGACGTTGTATATCAACGTTAGTATAAATTATCGAAGTCTATCAATTAAAAGTATGAAATCGGCAAGGAGATGAGTCCTAATAGCAGCAGTCATGTAATGCCCGTTCTACAATATTGCTGTAGAGAGAAAGTAGATGTTCTTAGCCACTTTTCCTGTTCTCCCTTACCCCCATTCTGTCAGATACCTTTCCAAGTTTTGTAGATATGTTAGATAGTAGATATGCTCCACTTTTTAGACTACATGCCACCATAAATTAATTAACTTTCCATATTTCCATTTCAGAATTAAGCAAGTAAAATGTAGTTCCACAAAAACACATACACAAGGCACATGAAATATTTGGTCTAGCCACCTAATGTGAAGGTTAAGAATCCTCCAAAGACATCTCACTACAAAAGCTACAACATGCTAACACACATATATGTATATATTTTTGTCCTAGAAAAGCTATACTGGCCTTGCAAAAGTCGTATGACTATTCTTGTATAATGGGAAAATGTGAGATGTAGAGAACCTCTTGTTTTAGTGAACTCTTAATTTGCCTTAAAGACAAGATCATTTAGCATCAATGCTCTGTCTGGAAGACAATTAGAAGACTGTGGCCATCCTTTATCCCCAATCTATCCTTTAGGATTGGGAATGGGGTGAAAACCAGTTTCTGGAATGATCTTTGGTTAGGGGAAGAGAATTTGAAGATCATGTTCCCAGATTTTTATATATTGAGCCTACAACAGATGGACACTGTGGCACAAGTGTGGAGCCCTCAAGGTTGGGATTTGATCTTTAGGAGGGCTTTAAATGACTGGGAGGTTGATAGAGTAGCAGGATTATTACACACACTAAATGCATTTCCAGGTGTCACTGAAAGTCCTGATACTCCAATCTGGAAAATGCGCAAGAAAGGGATTTTTTCTGTGAAGTCTTGTTACTGGAGCTTAAACTCTAATCAGGCTATGGAAATGGAATGGCCTTGGAAACTAATCTGGAAAATCAAGGTTCCTCACAAGGTCTCGGGTTTTATTTGGTTGGCAATTAGGGAAGCATGTCTAACTCATGAAGTGTTACAAAGAAGAGGTATACAGATTTGCTCAAGGTGTTTCATGTGTGGGGAAGAGGCACAAGTTAATAGTCACTTATTCTTACACTACAGAACAGCTGCAAATCTGTGGAACATGTTCTTATGTATACTTGGAGTTAACTGGGTAATGCCCAAGACTACTTCAGAGTTGTTGAGACAGTGGGAAGGAGTGGGCAGAAGAAGAAGATCCAAATTAAGGGGCAATTTTAGGCTCTTGCTCCGCCGAGTTGTGCCAATAGTTAGATCCACATTTACCTCTTTGCCAAGACATTTTGCAATGGTTCCAGCTAAAGCTCTAAGCTTCATAGCAAAAATAATCCTAGCAATGCTGCTTTTTTAAAAAAATCTGTTCATCTTATACAATTTTTCCCTTCTTTTCTGGACTTCAATTTTTTCTCCTTTTTGGTATTGGGTTTCTAAGTGTGGAGGTTAGTAGTCATAGCATTCAGAGTTGAATATGTAGAAATTAATCATGGCAAGACACATAGCAATTTTCCAGAGATATGGACAGAAGAGATGAGCACCCTTGCTGTTTACCTTAGTGTGATCACTATTAGAAGTGGCAAGAACCATTGCCTGGGACTTTATCCCCCTCATGCTAACTGGTTTTAGGTTGCATAGAACACAGACCTTCCGATTCTGAAAGGGAAATGTCACTGCAAATAAATTTCACCAGTTCATTTTATATTTGGAAATTGCATTAGTGTGGAAGCCAAACCTGCATCTCCTCAAGTGGAATATATTTTACAAGGCCACTAACAACAGTTCTGGGCAGAGCTTCACCAACATCAATCTCTTCCACGTACAACGAATCAGCATCAGGATGTTTCTGCGCTTTGGTTATGAGGCCAACACGAATGTCGAGTCTACTAATGGAAATGTCTCCTTCAACAGAGGCTGGGGCCTTAGATTTGGTTTCAGAAGATTTTGTTGCACATTCCTTCTTCTTATTACCATCTGGTACACAATACAAAAACCAAAGTAAGCCAAAACCCATATGATTCTCATGCAAGAATAGAGCTAAACTGCAGCCACCAACCATGGCCAATTAGACCTAGAACTTAGATAAGAATCCGACAGGATCCGATAAGGGTAGATGATTTACTCGTCTCTTATGAAAGCATAAGGAGCTGTATGTATTCTTGAAAGCTTAAATTTTTGGCACCAAGCGAGAAATCTTCACAGGCGATTAGGATTTACTATTTAGAGGTGTGGTGTTAAGAAAATAAGAGGACCAAAAGAGAGGTGGTAATCAATATCTTGAAAGGAACAGTGAGAAGTGCCTCAAAGACAGCTATTGCTAAATCGTCTCAGGTAAGAAAGGTGTGTTGGGGGGGACAAAAGGTTAAATTCATTTTTATAAACCCAACATGATGCTCAAAAGAAAAACAGCACAAGAGGAACAATTAGACACTTCTCTCTATCTTTTTACAAGTTCTTTTTGTTTGATGAAGTAATATAATTATTGATAAGTCCACGCAGAAGAGGTACTGAATGTGATGCAGCACCAAAAAGAGAGCAGGGAGAAGAGAGAACAGAAAGGGGAGAGATAGAGGAACAGAAGAAGGAGAAAAGAGAAATAGATCTGAGGAGAGGATTTTAATATCAATTTTTTTCATATTTTCAAGACAAATGTCTATCTAAAGAATAAGGAGCCCTAAACAACTCATAAATAGGAGAATGGTGAAGAATAGAGAGAGAAGAGGGAGAAGCAGAAAGATAGAGAAAGAGGAAGAATAAGGGAGAGGGAAAGACAAACAGGAGGAGGGATTTCAATACTCCCTCCGTCCACTTTTACTTGTCCACTTTCACATATCAAGGGGAAGACAATATTTCACTAAATCTGAATGTTAGGAGATTGTAGGTCTTCCAAAACAACTTCATTTCCATCAATCTTATTAGCAATAATATAGCGTTCGTATGGCCATTTGTTTCCACATTCCAAGATAGCTACAGATCTGTGGAACATGTTTGTTTGTACACTTGGGGTAAACTGGACAATGCCCAGAACCACTTTTGAGGTCCTAACACACTGGCAAGGAATTGGAAAGAGAGGATCAAAGGAAAGATTGGTGGGAAAATATCCCTGCTTGCATCTGGTGGACACTATGGAAAGAAAGGAATAAGAGATGTTATGAAGGAAAGGTTAGCAGCTCACAGGAGATCAAGATGAGATGTCTTAGTCTTTTGTATTTTTCGTGTAAGCAAAATTTAGTGGAGGGAAGTAGATAGCTTTGTGGAGTTTATAAGCCAATTGTAAATTTTTGAAAGTTTGTCTTTTTGGATTTTGAGTATGATGGCACTCCATGGGGGGTTTGTAAATCCCACCTCATCAGTTATTGATGAGTTCTTTAGTGTGAATACAAAGTTACCTATTTCAAAAAATAAATCCAAACTAGTTTTCTGTCACTTTTGTAGTGTCCCTAAGTCCACACTGTATTACTCTATCCCAAAGCTCCATCATATGCCACTCTGGTTCATAAGTTTAATGT